CCACCTGCCTCTGCCCGCTCAGTACTGGAATTAAAAGTTTTGCACCATCCCAGATACACCACTGAATCTGGTGCTGCCCAAATGTGCATGGGTGTAGGACTATCTCCTGGAGCCTGGGCAACCTACCAGCAGCTACATCCCAGAAGCAAATTCACTCCCCACCAACTGCCAATACTCCTCAGCTAGGGTTGGGGTGGGGCTGCATGAGCCCCTCCAGAACCATGCTGTGATAGTGACTGACTTGATCCTTCTCGGAGACCATGAGTATAGCAGCCACATGCAGGGGACAGCACGTGACAGCACTCCTCCCTGTCCCCCAACGCTTACATTCTTCCTGTCCTCTCTCCCACATGTTTCTTAAGTCTTAAGGGAGGGGGTTGATATAAACATCGCAGTTAGGACTGAGCACTCACTCCGTGATCACGTATCTAAGCTCTTTGACCAGTTGCAAATCTCTGCATTGCCTACTTCAAGAAGTTTCTCTGACCAAGGTTGAGAGCAGCACTAATTAAGGGGTATAAACATACATATTTAGAAGGGGGCCTAAGAGACACCCAGGCCACCCACTGCCACGAGGCATGGGGTGGAAGACGCCACTGTGACAATCAGACAAGCGATGGAGAGGTGAAAAAGAGAAAAACGCAGTGTAGGACCAGCAGGGCAGTGCGCAGCAGCCCGGGACTCGTGCAGACACAGAATTTTCCCCCAGCCTGCTGCCTGGCCATGGGATTGCCCCGGCTCTGGGCAACAACAAAGGCCCAAGATGAGGGAAGGTTCACTTCCTAGACTGGACCTCCTGGAAGGACCTCGGGGTCTGTGATGCCACCAGAGGCCACACTGGTGTCTGTGGTCCCTGCTGCTGCCCCCAGCTGTGATGAAACCTGTGAGCCATGAGGCTCTAAGCAGGGTAAATCCTTTCTCCTGCCTGCACGGAGACCTAACGTTACCAGAGCATGCGCTAACCCAGCTGGGCTGGCCGGCACCTGGCCAAGGTACCTCTCGAGAGGGGGCTTCACTGGAAGCTACGCTAGAGAGATGAAGCTAATCACCCCTTTAATGAGATGTACTTGTCCTCCCTGGAATCCGCCCTCGGCGCAGCTGTTCAGAGCCTCCGAGAGCTGGTGCTGGGTCTGCTCCCCTTTCTGAACTCTGACTCTCCCTGATGCTTCCTCCCCACCCCATGGTGCTGGTCCGCTCCCAAGCCAGTTCCACCGGAAGGACGCAACTTTCTCTTTTGCTTCTCCACCTTTCTGTCAGGATTTATAGCTTGCCACTCTCAAGATTTTCTTTTAAACCCTAACAAAATTGTCCTCAACCTTTCTTTTGAGCCTGTCTTTAAATTCTTTTTTTTTTTTTATGAGATGACGAATCCTAAGGAGGCTCCTGCTTCTCCCCTAACAAAAATAATAATAACTATCACAATGCTAATTGAAATGAAGGGGTCGTAAATGGCTAGTTTACCAGACTTGGCCTCATGATCTCCACTCTCTTCACACTGTCCCTCGCACTTTAGGACACCACGGTCAACCCACAGTACCAAACATCTGCTTTCCTGAGTCCCACCCATTTCCTTCTGCCTGGCAGCAGACAGGGGTTAGTACAGGGTGTGGGCCGTCCACACCCAAAGACATTTTTATGTCCCATCAAGCCCCTTTGGCTCCCAGGCCAAATCCCATGCCATTGCTTGGCATCTTGGACCGTTCACATTTATTTTCCTGACTCTGAAAGACCGTTCACTTTGATCTAGGGCTCGACTTACAATTCTTGCACAGGCTCTCTGTTGAAACAGGGAGAGTCACTCCGTGGATTTCGGCCAGGTGACATGTTGGCACAACTCACTTGGCCATGTAAATACCTTATCTAGGCAACTCCTTTTCCTTTTAGTTTACCAAGGCCAGTGGAAACCTGCCACCAACTGCCGAACAATGTCATTCCCGTGCTCTGACATGTTCCAGGTGCGGGGAACAGAGGTCCTCCACCCTCTCTACAGGGCTTAGGTAACTGCCTCTCCCTGCCTTGCCTCTGGAATGAGGTGTCTCCTGTAAAACAGCTCTCTCTTGTGGAGGTTTCATCCTCTCTAAACAGCACTGTTAAACAAACTCACTAACAAGACCAAACCTAAGTTCACAGCAAAGTTGTTACCACGGAAAGGAACCACCGCATTTCAACGGTCACTGAATCCAGACTATAGAGTCAAGGAAGCTTCCTCTGATGGTGACACTGGCAGCCACCTGGGGAAGTGTCACATGTGTGTCATGGCTGGGCAAGTCTGCTGCTAACTGAATATGCTGAAGAAAACTCCAGGCACTACCTAGTGTTCTTCCTTACCCACTGAAGTGTCTAAAGGTAAATAGCACATCTCTGGGACGGGACACAGTTGTGATGCAAGTCAACACACCGTCCTGACTGACCGAGGTCCGTACTCATGAAATGTTCGTGTGAGCCGGGCACTCTGCTCACAGTCCCATCTCTGTCCCCCTAACAACCACTGGGATAGGCAGGGTGCCCCGGGGTTTCCCGATTGGTAGACAGATAAATGGAAGGAAGCTGGCAGGGACAAATTGGAGCCCAGCTTCATCTGCCCAATAGAGAGTAAGCAAGGCCTCTTAATCACTGGTTTGCCCACACACTGCCTCCTGTGTATGCTGCAGGTGCCAGGCACTGCAGATGGGCCACAGGAAATAAAGTCCACTCATTTACACAGGCCATTTGCTGAGCCTGTATTTCACACACAGCACTGTGTCGGGTGCTGCGAAGAATAAAAAACTGGCCAGGACATCAAGTTTCTCTTACCTTGTAGTAAAGAAAAGAGTATCAGAAGCCGGGTGAGGCCTTGGTAGTTAAAAGTACCTGCCATTCCAGCGTGACAACCAAGAGTTTGGGACTTGGAAACTGACAGCCCAACAGCAACACCAGCACTGGGACACAGAGACAGAGAGTCCCCCACCAAGCACACTAGCATGCTGGCCATATCAGCAGGCTCTGGGCTCCATTGAGATCACCTCAGCAGGTAATGTGGGAGGGCCATTAGGACACCTGAAAACAACCTGAGACTTCCACAAGCTCTCGCATGGTACCTACACACATGAGCACGCGCGCGCGCGCGCGCACACACACACACACACACATACAGAAACACACACAGGAGCACACACACATACATACGAGCACACACACGAGCACACACATGAACACACACACACAGAAACACACACACACACATGCACGCACACACGCACGCACAAAGAAGCAAGCGAAAGGAATATCACTCATTGCTCTTTCTAAATTCCTACATACAGTAGGGATAAAGATCAGTTGGTAGAATGCCTACCTCACAGGAATGAAGTCCTGACTTCAGTCCCCAGAGCTGCATAAAGTGGGCTTGGTGGTATACCTACATTCCCAACATTTAGGAAGAACAGAAGTTCAAGGTCATCCTCAGCTACATAGCAAGTTCAAGGCCAGCCTGGGCTACTGATACCCCATCTCAAAAACAAACAAAAACCAAGTCAAAAAACAAAACAAACAAAAAACCAAAAATCCTACCCCCCCCTTTTTTTAGGGTTACTGCATACAATGCCATGGAAATTCCCCATTGCCATCTACCCAGAACTCTCAATCAACTTAACCATCTGGAATATTCCTTTAAGGCTGCTACCTCACCCTCTCTTTCGGCTACCCCAGCCATGACCAGCAATGCCTAAGGACAGGTGAAGTGGAGCTGGGAATTTTTCTCAGCTGGCTGAGAAATTTCCTGACTTCTCAGGAAATCCCGAGTTTGACCCTTGGGATCTCATAAACTAGGTGTCCTACTGCAGGCCTGTAAAGAGAAGCCTTTTCCTTGCCAGCCGCTTTGGTTTTTCCCCAACAGTCACCTGGACTCTGCCATGTTGTAGTTCCCAAATAACACACAGGACACTGTATTAATTATGAAGCTGTTGGCCGTATGTTTGTTTCTTGCTGGCTAGCTCTGACTTAAGTATTTACCCCATAATTGTTAATCTAAGTATTTCTCTTACCGGAGAAAAGTTCCGGACATCTTACTTCTCTGGTGAGCTACATCGTGACTCCCTGTGTCTCTCCTACCCAGAGTCCTCCTCGACTCCTAGTCCCACCTATCTTGCTTCCCTATTGGCCAACAGTGCTTTATTGACAAATACACAGAAAAGCGTGAGGAGTGGGGGAAAAAAGATGCTAATTCACATGGCAAGCAAGAAAAGCCCACGCGCACGCCAGCACGGGCAGAAGAGGTCACAATCCAGCTCCACGGTTCAATTTAAGAAGCACAAGCCCACCAGGCGTTGGTGGTGCACGCCTTTAATCCCAGCACTCGGGAGGCAGAGGCAGGCAGATCTCTGTGAGTTCGAGGCCAGCCTGGTCTACAAAGTGAGTTCCAGGACAGGCTCCAAAACAATACAGAGAAACCCTGTCTCGAAAAACTGAAAACAAAAACAAACAAACAAACAAACAAAAGAAGCACAAGCCCTCCAACTCCAACACACCACGCCTCCCTGCCAAGTGCGGACATGTACGTAAGAAGAGGAGGCTCTAACATGCTCCAACGAAAGGGAAACTTTTTGTTTACAATCATCCACACAGACCGTGATGTTTACAACCATTTTGTCTTCTCAGCCTGAACGTGATAGGTGGGTTAGGAAGCTCCAGGTCCAGCCCAGTAAGAACCACATTTAAGCTTTCAGTTTTCCATTCCCTGAAAACATAACATTTTGACTAAGACTGATGAGAACTCATTACACTACATGAAAGATTTAGGAGGTTTGAGACTAAAACTGTCTGGGAGATTCTACAGCTATGACCATGAATCCATTTTTCTAATCTCTGAGAACCTGTGGGAAGGAAAACCGCACTGTAAGGTCAGAGTCAGGCAGTTTGTCCCAATGTCACACACCGTACAGAAGCTCAGTTAACCATGTGACCTTCTGGGTTTGCATACAAAATTACCTCAGCTACGAAGAAAAGGGCAGCGCAAACGCCAAGGCTGTGGTTTGGTTCTTCAGCATTGCCTAAGCGCATGTGCAAACTTTAGGGTCAGGCTTGCTGGAGGAAGGCGGCCGGCAGGGAGTGTGCCTGTGAAGTGTACATCATGAAGTGTTTTGTCCACTCACCGCCCCTCTCCCCCTCTCCCTTCTTCCTGGCTGCCATGAGCTAAGAGGCTTCTGTGCTCCCCCACACCCCAGTTCAAAAGCAACGGAGTCAGCTGACCATGGACTGAAAACTTTGAAAGCACCAGCAAGATAAACCTGGCTTCCTTTACGTTGATCCAGCTCAGACGTTTCATCACAGGGGTTGGAAAACTGGCTGGCCACGAAACTGACGGCCTATAGGGAGAGGTAAGCTAATCTAAGGACCGGACACGAGGACTTCTGGGATACTCTCAACACTTAACTTATTCATGTGGGAGAATTCTCCAGTATTAGCACATATCTTACACGCTTACACGTATGCTACGTTACACAGCTAAAGGCTATCGGGAGAAGAAAGCTAATTTGTGCTAATTTTCCAGAAAGAAACATGGAAGCTTCCAGAAATTATAAACCTGAATTATGATTGAGAAAGGGCCTGGGGTCTTATGAAACTGACAGCCCAAGCGTTGCAAATAAAGCAGTGACTCCAGGGGTGAGCATGGCTTTACTTAGAACATGATCCAAAAAGATTTGTTTTCTGAAACCAGAGCAGCCGGGCACCAGGACTAGAGTAGCAATCTGCCACAGCTAGACACAGAACTTTTCTTAAGATATAAAATTCAAGGAAAGCACACATTTAGAGGGTGATATCAAGGCTCTTCACCTTCGAGATCACAGGACAAGAGGGCTGGAGTGGAAGGAGAGGGGTGAGCTAGGGCTTTCTCCATTTTTGCCTTAAGAACAAATCAGCAACTCAGCGCTCCTTAACAAGACAACGGTGAAGCCTTGCTGCCACCTGCTGGCCACAAAAACATCGTTCTGTGACGTTTGAGGAACAAGAGCTAGCTTTTCCAGGTGTTTTTGGTTTTTTTGCTCAGTGATGGGGAAGTCCTTCTGTGTATGGGTTTGTCTTATTGGTTGATGAATAAAGCACTGTTAGCCAATAGGGAAGCAAGATAGGTGGGACTAGGAGAGGTGGAGGATTCTGGGAAACAGAGGCACAGTCAGTCACAATGTAGGACATGAGAGGAGTAAGAGGTCTGGACCTTTTCTCTGGTAAGAGAAGACCACGTGGAAATACTCAGATTAGCAGTTATGGGTTAATAATTAAGTCAGAGATAGCCAAGAAGAAACCAAGAAAACGGCCAACAGCGTCATAATTAATACAGCGTCCTGCGTGTTCATGTGGGACTGACGTGGCTCTGGGACCAGGCTGGCGGGAAGAACGCCTGTTACACCTCAGCACGTCTGTGCTCTGTAGGTTATCTGAGCATTATTGGCAGCTGTCAATAGAAAAAAAAGTGACGTTTTAGGTCAAATCGGTGTCACTTGGTCTACAGTGGTCCTAGGAAAACCCAACGGAAGCTTGGTTTCAGAAAACAGGTGTTGAAGAAAGTGGGTGTTCCAGTGTTCCGGGAGTTCTAATCCCCCACTGGGCGACCCTTGCCAACGACGTCACTGCTCTTAGCCTAGCTTTTCTCTGCTTTAAAGCAGCTGTCACTGGGTCTTCATCACCGTAGGTGCTGAGGAAGGATGGAGAGGGCCGGACTTTCCAAAGTGCTCAAAGGCACATGGATAGTGTAAGAGGAGGACAGCACGCCCCCCCCCACCTCCACGGGCTACGCTGGTGTCTAGCTGGTTTCCTGCCCCTCCCCCACACTGTCTGTCTGTCTGTCCACGAATTAACAACTCTTCTAAGAAACTCCATCCCCACAACAATCCATCTCAGTGTCTCTCTTGAACCCCGAACTGAAACCTTTCAAACAGAAGGGAGGCACTTGCTATGTTATGAGGTGAGGTTTGTGTGTCCTCTAACAAATAAAGATCAGAGGGTGGAGTTAAGTCACTAGTTAGCCAGAGAGGTCAGGCAGTGGTGGCACACATCTTTGATGCCAGCACTTGGGAGGCAGAGGCAGACGGATCTCTGTGAGTTCGAGATCAGCCTGGTCTACAAAGCAAGTTCCAGGACAGCCAGGGCTGTTGCACGGAAAAAGCCTGTCTTAAAAAAATAAATAAAATAACAATAAGAATGTCTGGAAAAACAAACAAACAAACAATAGCAGGCATGAGAATTACCCTTACATGTTGTTAGTCAGGAAAATGCAAGGCACCCTCAGAAACACACAGCTACTGCTCTTATCATTGGTTGCCTCTCAGAAGTTGAAGGAAAGCCCCTGCTGTTGAAGACAGCACACACTTTGACACAGGACCCGAGGGATCCAAGCTAGGTCTGACTGTGAAGACATCCTCTGTGAGGACTAGCTTGTATGGTACCTGAAGGTGCCATGCAGACTTCCAAGGGAAGCAACCAATGGTCCTACGCAGTTATAACACCCATAGACTACAACGAAGAGCCGCATGGCATGATACCCTTAAGGGCACAGTAATAGTACTCCTATCTTGGTGGTACCCAGCAGCTCTAATAGAACTTAAAGTCTGCTCAGCAGGAGAGAAATCATATCCCAGCACTCGGGAGGCAGAGGCAGGTGGATCTCTGTGAGTTTGAGGCCAGCCTGGTCTACAGAGCCGATTCCAGGACAGCCTCCAAAACAATACAGAGAAACCCTGTCTCGAAAAAAAAAAAAAAAAAAAAAAAAAAAAGAGGGAAATCATGCCCGGTGCTGAAAGCTGAAGCAACTGCTAAGGGCTACTGAGGTCATGACTGTGGAGGAGAACCTGCAACCCCCACTTTAGTAAGCCAAATAACCCCTAGCTACACTCTAAATACTGATTGTTTTGTTTGGCTTTTTCTTTTGAGACAGGGTTTCTCTGTATTGTTTTGGAGGCTGTCCTGGAACTCGCTCTGTAGACCAGGCTGGTCTCTAACTCACAGAGATCCGCCTGCCTCTGCCTCCCGAGTGCTGGGATTAAAGGCGTGCGCCACCAACGCCCGGCTCTAAAAGTTGATTCTTACACCTACACACAAGTGTAGTTCTCACTCCTCAAAAGAGAAACTTCTCTTTGCAACAGATGGAGACCATTTCAGAAAAGCACAACCAGTCAAAGTGCAGGGAACAGGGGATCGTGCGGTGCTCAAGCCCCTCGTGTAAAGAAAAGCTTTTTTCTTGAGTGAAGCCTTCCCCTTCCCGCCAGCCTGGTTCTAGAGCCGCATCAGTCCCAAATAAACACACAGGAGGCTATATTAATTATGAAGCTTTTGGCCTTGCTTGTTTCTTACTGGCTAGCTCTGACTTAAGTAATTACCCCATAATTGTTAATCTAAGTATGTCTCTTACCGGAGAAATTTCCGGGCCTCCTACCCCATGGCGGTTACATCTCGAACTCTCCTGTGTTTCTCCTTCCCAGAGTTCTCCTGGACTCCTAGTCCCACCTATCTAGATTCCTATTGGCCAGCAGTGCTTTATTGACAAATAACAGGACTTCCCCAACACCCTCAGAATGCATTTACCACACAACTCCTGCACCGAAGGTTCAGGAGCATTGTGGAAGAGGGGGCAGAAAGATTCAGAGAGCCAGAGGACTAGGGTATTTGCTGCGAGATTTCGTCTCCTAGAAACATCAGGGAAGCTACTCCGGTGAAGTTTCACTAGCATGGCTGCCTAAACGAGACCGGAGCCAGGGTGACACCAGTAGACATGTTAACACAGAAGGGAGAAATCTCATGGGGCCCCAGTCATAGGCGAAGAACTACAGGCAACCAAGGAATGCTGAGAGCCAGGAAAAACAGTCTTCCCTCGGGGAGCGCCATGCAATGTGTTTGTTTTTTAAGACAGGGCCTTCTGCCTCAAAGTCCTTGTCTTTCAGAGAAATACAGTGTCTCTTCTGTGCTCTCAGAAGGGTTTCTCTGTGTTGCCTGGCTTTACGAGGTCTCTCTCTCTCTCTTTTTTCTCTCCTTCCTCTCCTGCTCCCTCTCCCTCTCCCCCTTCCCCTCCCCCCTCTGTAGACCAGGCTAGCCTGGAACTCAGAGATCTTCCTGGCTCTGCCTCCCAAGTGCTGGGATCAAAGGTGTGCACCAACACTGCCTGGTTTTAAGTTTGTATTTTTTTAATCATATATGGAGAGCTTGCATTCACCATGAAAATGTGAATAGGCCCTAATTCACAGAGATGGCTTTCTATTGGGCTTAAGTATTATTCTCCTTTTCTTCCCTCTAAACAAGAGAAATGGTCAGTCAAATGGCATGAATGGGAGCTTCATGGTCATGGTCATCAAAGGTGCCTAGACAGGAAAAGGCAGGCAGTACACTCGTTCTTGGAGCAGGGTCACTTACATCTCAGTCCCCATTCCCCTTCTCAGTGACACAGACAATGCCTTCCTGCTATGGAAGACATAAGAAGAGGCAAAGATAGCAAGTGGTTTACCCGGGAAGTGGAAATCCAAGATTAGGGCCACGTGGTTAGAGTCCTGGACCGAAGCTATAAACTTTGGGAATGGTTCCCAAGACCACTCTCACTTCTCATAACAGCAAGTTCAGAGACGCTCACCACTACTTCCAAGTTGAGTAATTCACTAGACGGCTGCTATTATATTTGCAGTTTCAAAACAAATTTTTTTAACAACCAAAGGGCAAAGATTGATAACATCCAAAAACCACACAGCTCCGTGTGCAAAACTTCCTGGCATCCTTTGCCAGTTAAGTGTTGGATGGCATTAAATACTTCTTTTGAAATGATGTGTGACAGTAGGATGCATCACAAGCCAAGCAGAGCCCCCAGAGTATTAGTGCTGCAGGTTTTTACACGCTCTGTCTTGTGAAGACAGATCCTCGGCTCGTGACCTCGGTCTGTAGTCTCTCAGGGGCCGAGCGGATACTGTGTGTCCGACTCCCACCCTAAGTCAGACGGTCCGGCATTGCCCGAGTCCTTTCAGCAAACAGCGTATCAGACAGGCCATCCCAAGAGTTCGGAGATGGCCTCCCAGCAGCTGCGGACAAAGGTTGAGCATTCTCTATTGCACAATCTACTCTCTCTGCAGTCCACTGACACAGTGGGTGCCCTGTGGGCCGCTGCGATGAATTTCTGTCCGTTTCTATGCCCGCATAATTCTAAGAAAGGAAGATCCAATTCCACTGCAAAACATGATTGGGAAATAGAAACTGAGCATCCCAGAGGGGAAAGGAGAGGCACGGGGGAAACACATAGGTGAGTTCTGTGAAGAAACACACACACACACACACACACACACACACACACACACACACACACACACACAGGAAGTTTTAAGTATAGAAAAGTCACATCAGCCGGGCGTTGGTGGCGCACGCCTTTAATCCCAGCACTCGGGAGGCAGAGGCAGGCGGATCTCTGTGAGTTAGAGGCCAGCCTGGTCTACAGAGCGAGTTCCAGGACAGCCTCCAAAGCCACAGAGAAACCCTGTCTCGAAAAACCAAAAAAAAAAAAAAAAAAAGTTGCATCTAGTGTTTTTCTCTATGCTTCAAACATAGAAGCTGACGGCTGGAGTCCATTTGATGCTAGCTCCAATCCTGTCCTCCGGTTGATTGCACTGAGGACACCAAGATGCGAGTTTAAGTGGGGGTGGGGGGTTGAAGACTCTGAGAAGCACACCAAACTCTTCTATCAAGTTGCGTTCCCAGGGTGGTAAGGTTACCATGACGGCTGCCTTGCAGCTTGTGCAATCGGCGTAGGTTCACCTCTGTGCTCCCTTTTTATCTTCGCTCTCGGTAGTTGGGCAAAGGACTCCACCACCATTAGGACGAAGTTCAATAAGAAGGAAGCCAGGGATACTCTTTATACATCGTTAAAGTAATTTCCACAGATTTAGAGGTGACGGAGGGGAAGGAAGGCTATCGTGGAGCTCTGGGAGCACAGAAGAGACGCTGGGTTTCTCTGAAAGACGAGGACTTTGAAGGCCCGGGAAAGGGGGAGGGCAGAGTAGGTTGGGGGAGAGGGAGAGAGTGGAGAGTGGGGCAGCGTGGAGAGCGGGAGGAGCCGGAAGTATTTCCGCTTTACCCCGCAGTGCGCCGGTGACACGAGCTGGGCAGACTTCAGGAAAGACCCGGCACGTTTCCCTTTTCCTTCACGCTAAGTCCATCTTCCGCCCCTCTAGATTTCAGGTCTCCTCCAGCCTTCCGAGGAAAATAGCTGGGATCTGGGCTGCCCCTCAAAGGCTCATGTGTTGACAGCTGGTCTCCAGAGGGTGGTGCTGTTGGGAGCGGGTGGGAGACTCGAGCTGTCAGCTCTCGTGGTAGGCAGAGCTTGGGGCATTGCAGGGCAAAGCAGAGCTTCGAGTTAAGGTGTGGCAGGGGGTGCCTGAAGGTGAGGCAGTCGGTGGTCTGTGATCTACAGTCAGGCTTTGCGGTTTGTCATGAAACGCACATCAGGAAAAGAGCCCAACGCGATGGCACGCGTTAGCAATTCTAGCCCTTGGGAAGTGGAGATAGGAGGAGCAGGAGTTTGAGGCCAGCCTGGGCTACAGGAGATAATAATCGTTCTAGAAAAAAAGAAAGGAAGGGAGGGAAGGGGAGGAAACGGAAGGCGTGGGAAGGGGAGAGGTGAAAGCCACAGCTTGATAACCCGAGGATGGAATTTTCAGTCTCTGGCATCGAAAGGTCACCACCCCTCGAGGGCACCTGGACAGACACGAACGGGAGTCGGAAGTTCCTATAAAAAGTCCTTCAAGTTCCTGAGAGGTGACTTGGGTTTCTCTACCGTCTTCAGTCACATGTCAGCAACACCATATCCTGTGACAGAGGTACCTGTAGATCCATGTTCATTGCTGATGTCCACAAAATCTAGGAAATGGAATCAACCTAGATATTCACCAGCTGGCGACCGGATAATAAAAACGTGGTACATACAACAACCGGGGTTTATTCATCTGTAAAGAAAATGATAAAATTTGCAGGAAAATGGATGGAACTGGATAATACTATATATACTGCAAGACAAATAAATGTTGGATGTTCTCTCTCGATTGAAGACCATAGATTCAGGTTTTTAGATTTGGGTGTTTAAGTTGATGGGACGCCTGTGGAGGCCAGAAAGGAAGGAAGCAGCTGTGAGAGGTGAGGACTGAGTCGAGGGAACAGCGAAATGTGTGGCATGGAAGAGGGGAAGGCAGAGATTTTTAAATAAGTAAGTGAGAGGGCAGGCAGTTACGTTCGCTGAGTAATTATCGAAGTTAGAACTCCGGCCCCTCAGGGTCCTGGAGACTGCGGCCTTCTTTGCTAAGAACGGCTCTCAGGCCCTTGAGAGACGCTTCAGAACACATGTTTGCAACTCTCCGTCCTTCTTTAGGCAGATGTCTGGGAGACTGGTGTGACCCACGGAGCGAGGACTGGGTTTGAAAGGACTAAGGAAGCTTGACTTGTCGCTGATGATACGGCATCAAGGAAGAGTGTCTGTGTTGCTTGACATGTAGCTGCACACCCAGCAGGATGACTGATGTAGAGGTTAATTTCAGTTACACAAAACTTAAGTAAGCTGAGATCCTCAGCCTGAGACACTGACTCAGTTGGTAGAGCACTTGCTGCGGCTTGAGAATATCAGTTTGGATCTCCAGCACTCACGTAAAAGTTGGGGTAGGTGGTGCACGAGCCCATTCCCTATGGAGGGACACTTTTTCAAAATAGATGCCTGGGGAGCACCTAGCCCTGCCCCGAATGATGTGACAGACTTTGATGATTCCCCATCGGGAGCCTCACTCTCCCTGGGGAGTGGATAGGGGGTAGGATGGGGACTTGGTGGGGGGAATGAGAGGAAGGGAGGGAGAGGGAACCAGGATTGGCATGTAAAATAAGATTTTTTTTTTTTTTGGTTTTTACGAGACAAGGTTTCTCTGTATTGTTCTGGAGGCTATCGAACTCACAGAGATCCACCTGCCTCTGCCTCCCGAGTGCTGGGATTAAAGGCATGCGCCACCACCGCCCGGCAAGATTATTTTTAATTTAAATAAAAATTAATTTAAAAAAAGAGGAGTATGATGTGCATTCTCGTAATCCACAGCTGGGGATGTGGAGACAGGCAAAACCCTGGAGCTCAGTGGCCAGCCAGTCTGGTTTAATCAGCAATCTCTAGATTCATTGGTGGAAAATGGTTGATTGAGGAAGATACCTGATACGTAGCTATAATAATGATGATGATAAATAAAAACTTAAAAGAACCTGGTGCCAGGCGTTGGTGGTGCATGCCTTTGGTCCCAGCACTCGGGTGGCAGAGGCAGGAGGATCTCTGTGAGTTCGAGACCAGCCTGGTCTAGAAGAGCTAGTTCCAGGACAGCCTCCAAAGCTGCAGAGAAACCCTGTCTCGAAAAACCAAAAAAGAAAAAAAGAAAAAGAACAGGGCTTTCGGGGGTTAAATGCTGAGGGTTAAATGCGATGCTGTGTGTTAGGTGTGGCTTAGAGCCAAGCACAATAGAGATGCAGGGTGACATGAGAGCAGCCTCTGTACATAGCACACTTGTGGTGGCCCCGGAAGGCAGGAGGAAAGCTCCTAGGACCTGGAGGGCTGCTTTCCAAGCGTCTCTGGTGGCAAATGGGCGGGTCTTAGCAGATGTTACACAACAGGTTAGGTAATCACTGAGGGAAAGCTAACTCCATTGAGGGCTGAGATTCCACAGCAGTCTGCTGTTCAGAGGGAGACCACCTGCCTCTCTGATGGCTCTCCCAACTCACAGTGTGTCCTGGCCCAGCATCACCGGCACACGCTGGCACACCCCGGATGTGCTGGAGCCAACGGCACTGTTGACCCAAGCTCCGGGGGATTTTATGCATGCAGGTTTGAGAAGTATTGATGACATCTCTCCTTTCCTTCCTAAATTATGGACCAAAGTCACTTAACACAAACACAGTACCAGCCACTAAAAACTCGTGATACGCATTCAGGGTTAACTTGGCAGGAAGGTAAGCATCCTAAACTTGTACCTCTGTCTCCCTGGGGCTGGGACCTCAGGCAAGCACCAACACAAGTCTGTGTGTCTAACTAAGGGTTAGAACCGCTTTGTTTTGTTGGAGGATGTGTTGCAGGGAAACCAATGGCTGTCAGAACACTGGAACGCATCTTGTGCCTCTAAATACCATCCCTAGAAGAGGTCAAAGTCCACTGCACTCTGCTTCAGTAGATCGATTTCACAGACGTATAAACGGAACCACAGTACCTGTGTGACAGACTTGGATCACTTGGCACAGAGTCCACAAGGTTCATTTATGTTACTGCATATTGTAGTTTCAACTTTTTAAAAAACTTATTTATGCGTGTGTTTGTGCGCCTGTACACACACATCGGGGCACATGTGTGTAAACAGGACACCTCTCTGCAATCTCTTCTCTCCTTCCTCCTTGTAGGATCCAGGGAAGGAGCCAGGTCGTCAGGCACTGACGAGGGTGCCTTTACCCTCTGAGCCCTCTCACTGGTCCTGGATTCTTTTAAAAGGCTGAGTGGCATCCCACTCTGTCTGTTCATCACGTAACTCTGTCTTCTGACAGGCTTCGTGTCTTGGTTATTGTGGAGCTGTGGACAGCTCTTCAATATTTCTAGTTCCCACGGTGACCCAGGTCTGTAATCCCAGCACTGAGGGGGATGAGGCAGGTCTATCCAAGTTCAAGGCCAGCCTGGGCTGCACAGCGTGGCCGTGTCTTAAATAAAGTAGTGAATGGCTTCCAGGACAGTGTAGGCTAGAAGAGGAACAGCTCAAGATGGTAACTGCCTTGCTCCCGGGAGCTCCCCATCTGGTTTTCACCACCGCGAGTACTGGGTGGGCTTGGTACTTCCTCACTGCTCCTAACCTGTGGAAAGCTTCTTATCTTGAAAACTTGTCCTTTGTCAAAGGCTCTCCCTGCATGCATTGGTATGATGCTATGTTGTCCGTTACTGCATGTCAATTTTGTCACATATGCACGCCCTTCATTGTATTTTCATACGCTGAGCCACACGACACCCCAGGGAGACGTCCTTCTCGGTTATGGTGGGTGGTTCCTTACGTCAGCTTCATTTGGTTTGGACTCTTGCAGACGAGTTTTTAAAGGGTTACACTAGGCACTTTTTTCTTTTTGTATTTTGCCAAAATTACAAAAAAAAAAAAAAAAGGAAGAGAAAGGAAGTCCAAACAGCTGTAACTAATACAATACGGCTATTGGGTTAATGGGATTAGCTATCACAGTCAGATGATGTCACTGGTGAAATATTTAAGAAATTACCAAGGCTAACCCTTCTCAACCTCTTCCAGACAAAATAAAATAAAATAAAACCTTTCAATTCATTTCAGGTGGTCAAGATCACACAGAACCAAAGTCAGACAAAGGTATTTAAAGAAAAAGAAATCTACAGACTAGTACCCCTAAAGGACATGGTGTCAAATTTTTTTTGTTTTTTGTTTTTTCAAGACAGGGTTTCTCTGTGGCTTTGGAGGCTGTACTGGGACTTGCTCGGTAGACCAGGCTTGGTCTCGAACTCACAGAGATCCACCTGCCTCTGCCTCCCGAGTTTTGGGATTAAAGGCATTCACCACACCACCCGGCTCTGATTAATTTTCTTATAATTTAGCTGTATGGACATTACTTTTTACATTTCAAAACCACAATAAAAGCATTATATTGCTTATCATAATATTTACATTGAGAGAAATGTAAGAAATTTCCTCGTCTGACATACAAAAGAGTGGGTACCAACTATGCCCACAACATATGTCCCAGACTCTGTGAGTTTGATAGGATAAACATCTTAGGTATGTTTTTATTGTTGTGAAGAGACACCATGACCACAGTAACTCTTACAAATTAAAACATTTAACTGAGGGAGCTTGCTTACAGTTTCAGAGGTTCAGTCCATTACCATCATGGCGGGGAGTTTGGTGGCGTGTAGACAGATGTGGAGCTGGAGATGAGAGTCCTACATCTTGACTCAGAGGCAACAGAAGTCAACTGACTGTCACACTGAGAGAAGCTTGAGCAAAAGAGACTTCAAAGCCTGCCCCCACGGCGACACACTTCCTCCAATAAAGCCATAGTAGTGCCACTCCCTTTGGGGGGGGCATTTTCTTTAAAACACCATAGGGTGTGACAAAGGGAAATCAAGTTTTGAAGATGGAGCCAGGAGGTGGTGGTACACGCCTTTAATCGAACTTGGGAGGCAGAGGCAGGTGTGTCTTGGTGAGTTCAAGACCAGCCTGGTCTACAGAGGGAGTTCCAGGACAGACAGGGCTACACAGAGAAACTCTGTCTCGGAAAAAAACAAAAAACAAAAAAACAGGTAAAAAGAAAAGCTGAAGACAGTTGCTAATCAGGTGGCCTTGGAGTGTTCATGAGGCCCCAATGCATGACAAGGTTTCATAAGAAGTATGACAGGCGGTGCTGGGGGGGGGGCAGCTCCATCTGCAAAGTGCCCGGCCCACAGCTGAGGACACGACTTTGACCCCAACACCCACGCAAAAATGGCAGGCATGGAGGTGTACCCTTGTTATCCCGACACTGGGGAGATCCCTTGGGTTTTCTGGCAGCCAGTCTAGACTAGCTGCTAAGCTCCAGCCAGGCCTGAAGAAACCCTGTCTCAAAGGAGGTGTCCACATTTCTACGATAGCCAAGGATGGTCTCTGACCTCCACACTCAAGTGCACGAACCTGTGTGCACACACATGCCTTAAAAAGAAAGTGGAAAGGAGCCAGGCTCACGCCTTTAATCCCAGCACTCGGGAGGCAGAGGCAGGCGGATCTCTGTGAGTTCGAGGCCGGGCTGGACCGACAGCCTCCAAAACAATACAGAGAAACCCTGTCTCGTAAAACCAAAAAAAAAAAGAAAAAGAAAAGAAAAGGGAATGGACTCTCCCTAAGCCTTCACAGGGAACAGGGGCATGACAATACGTTGACCT